GTTATTCTCAGTGTTTTATGATCCAACAAAACCCCCGGAAGAAAAAAAAAAGTATTCAATACAATTTATTATTTACAATTTCCTTATAGACAAGCTCATAATCATATTTTATAAGAATTATGTTGTATATTTACTTTCTTCCTGTTATAATATAAATGTTTATATCCTCATTATTTAAAAAAAAAAAACTTTTTTCTTATTTAGAGAGCCAAAATGTGTGTCTGTAAAACAAAAACCTGAGGGTTTGTCTAACCCGATATATGATGCACAACCAATTGGTGATTTTGCGATGGGTGAGCTTGACACAAACATGTTTGTTGACGATGCTTTTACTGTTCCAGCCAGTAAGAAATCTGGTGCAACCTCTATGTCGAATCCTCTTTATCAAGACCCTTATATGGAAGATGAAGATGGACCATTAGATAATTTTTAAACTTGCAACAGAACTGAAGAGAAATTTTGCAAACTCAAGTTAAGACGATAAAAGTTTTTGTAAAAGAGACGACAGAGTGACGTCCAGTGACGCCGATAAAGTGATATCCAAACGACGGCTCTGGAATGTTTTTTTTTGCTTTAATATATGAATCTTTTTATTTTTGTTGTAAATTAATTTTTTAAGATGTTTGCAGGTTTTCATATATTTTTATACAGTGTAAATATTTTTAATTATTTTGATAATTTTCTTGTAGAATAAATTGCTAGGATATATATTACCAATTTTGAGATTAGAAATATATTTTTCGTGAGTTTTATCGGTTTTTTGGCACGCAACATTACATTTTACTATTTCCCTGTAAAAAAATCACACCATACAAAAAGTTATCTAGATAGCTTTTTGTTTGGTGTAGAAAGAACTCACAAACTATTCAAGTTCAAAGTATTATAATTTTATGAAAAGTCGTATAGCTATACGACTTTTCATAAAATTATAATCATTTAAACTTGAATAGTTTGTGAGTTCTTTCTACATCCGTCATTCCATTATTTGCTATGGAATACTAAAACTATTTAGGGCGAGTAAAAAATAATTAGCTAATTATTCCAATTTGAAACATTGATAGAAACACTTTGCATAACAAACTCGGTATAAAGTCAAACGCCTTAAAACGCCTCAACTAAAGTTAAAATGGTCTTTAAACTTCTGCTCTTTAAAAAATAGAAAAAGATACAAATTTTTCTGAACCTTTTCGAAGTCTTGATAAAAATTTTGCGCCCCACAGTGTAAATTGTTATTTGAGGAACAAATTTTATAAAGGTTTTGGAGAAAAATAAAATTAACATAGTTAAAATTAATTAAGGGACCAAGAAAATAGTTCTAAGGGACCAAGAGAATAGTTCGATTTAGCAAATGTGTTAGAGTTATCGGGACATTCTATAACACAAAATTTTAAGTAAAAACAATTCGTAAAAACAAATCAAATGTACTCAATTTTGAAGCGCTTTAAAGGGGTCGTGGTCTTCATCCAAATAGGCAGATTTTTGATAATCTTTTGAAATTCCTGCTTTCACAAAATAATTAAACGATAGTTAATGTTTTCACTTTTTGAAAAACAAGATTTCATTGTGTTTCATTGTGGTTTTTTCAAGCTTTCAAAAAACGTATAATTTCTTGATCGATTTAGATGTGGTATTCGATGGTAAAAAAAAAAGAACTCAATAGATTAATTACTACTAGCTGAGATCGGACCATTAAAAAGACGGGTCTTTGTATTCCAAACTGAGCGTTTTTATACTTGTTCCTTATATATCCTAGCTTTCCAGATCCGCAAAATACAGGTCTTTACCAATTTACATTCCTCACCGATTAATCCGCAAAATACAGGTCTTTACCAATTTACATTCCTCACCGATTATTTCTCTACCTATTCCTTATTTACTTCAATATTTTTTAGTAAAATAATTTATTCTGAAAAAAAACTTTAAGAGCAAAAAACTTAACATGCGCATACGTAGAGTTTATACAAGATTTATAGGTTTTAAATTTGTTTTTCTGCTAAACACATTTCATTAATAGCTCAGTGGTTAAGTACGCTGTTATCAGTGTTGTTTTGGAGGGTTAAGACCTCCTCTTAGTGTAATAAATTTTGAAATTTTTTCAATCTTGCTTTTATCTATAACAAAAAAATAATAATATAGCAAAAAATATTTCTAAAATTTAAAATAAAATTTTCAAGTTTTCTCATTTTATAGATATACGCGATTATTCCATATAATGCCTGCAAACTCAACTTATGCTAAAGACGTTTACACTTACAGACGTTTGTACGTAACGCTATACTAATGGAACTAAGAAGATCTAAGAGCACTTAAACATAAGGCCGGGTGAATAAAAATAAGTAATTGCTTTTGCTCAGTAATTACTAATTAAAACTTTAGCAGTTTTGCTCTAATTTTTACTCACGTAAAGTTAAGCAATTTACTCAGTAATTGCTCAGCTTTACGTGAATAACTTGAGCAAAATTGCTAAATTCACGTAAAGCTGACCAATTACTGAGTAAAAGCGATTGCTCATTTTTATTCACCCAGCCTATAGTCAAAAAAAAAATCATTCTTATGATTAAGAACTAAAATAATATTAAACGCTTATCTAAAAGTTAAGCCTAAGAGATTTTAGGCATTGACGTCAGTTTTTGGCAAAATAAACCTGTATGCGTCAAGTTTCCTTCTGCATTTATCTTACATTTTTTTATTAATTTTAATTATGTTGCATACAAATGCATAAAAATATATAAATCTGGTATAGATATATCTTTTCACGGGTAAGCGATTTTATTTATTACTATAGTAATTAATAAATAGCTTTTATTTTTATTAGAATATTTCCCATAAAATATATTCCATATATTTTTAATAGAAAGAGCTTTTTAAAAAAAATTGAAATAAAATCTTCTTTCCATGACTTTCATTTTTAAAGGTCTGAGAAGCAGATGACGTAATTTTAGCAATCAGAAATTATCGAGAGAGGGGCAAATCTAAAGTTGAAGTTTCAAATTTTCCACTTGGATGTGACAATATATTTCGTGTTTTTTCAACCTTGTCAATTTTTTTAAATATAACATAACTACAAAAAGTAAAACAAAACTGCTTGAACAAAAAAGAATTGTAATTATTAGAAAAAATTATTTGTATTACATACGATCCTGAATAAAACGTTATATAAGTGGATTTTTTACATATTCTAAACAATATATATAAACAAATAACATGTTTGTTTGTATATATATATATGTTGTTTATATGGATGGTTAAGCGCAACAAAGATTAGTTTACGGGCTGTCCATTAATTCCGTCAAACTTTCAGTGACCCCTCTATAAAATTACGTCAACATTTGATAACCCCCCACCCTCCAAAAAAAAAAAAAAAAAAATTAAGATGGAAAAAAAATGTTATAAAATGACTAGTTTAGGACTGAAACAAAAAAGTGGTTCAAAGTAGAAAAAAAATGTTTTCAAATTTTAATTTATGAACATATTTCAAATGAATATAATCATTTAAAATTACAATTGCTCTCAACAAAAAGTGAATTAAAGTAAAAGGTATAGAAAAATTTTAACATTTAACTTATAAACATAATTCCAGTTTAACAATACAAAAAACTACTCTTAAAAAAAAGATTTAAGGGTTCACAAAAATGTTTACGCGTTTAAATTATAATCATATTTCAAATTAATAAAATTCTCCTCACTTTAACATTAGACCTAATACAAATTTACAGTGAAAGCCAATTATTTTTAATAGAGTCTAGAATAACAAAAAAAGCATTTATCAAATTGTATAAACCAAGGGTTGGCAACCTTTTAAGACGGATGAGCCAAAAGTTACAGTATACAAAGTTTTTCTGTTTTTAAAGAGCAACCAACTAAATAATTAATAATAAAAACTAAATAATAAAAAATGAAAAAAATAAAAATATTTAAATAAAGATTTATTTAAATATTTTTATTTTTTTCATTTTTTATTATTTAGGTGCTCCAAGAAGACCTAACGGTCTCGTCACAGAGCACCGCGGAAGTGCATTTAACCAGGAAGTTCACGCTTCCTTCCTTACCATGACGCGAAATATGTCCAAAGCTCGTTTTGAACCTGGATCACCTGTTTATAAAGCAAGCGCTCTAACCACTGTGCCACGGCCGCAATATTATATTTAGGGATGCGGAGTCTCGAAAAAGACTCCGGATTTTAATGTCATAAAAAGATTACTTCTTCCTAGTTTTTGGTATCTAGGAGCTCTAGTAATACAAAAACGCTTATGGATTACTATTGGTAAAAAAGTTAAGACTTTTAAGTTAGAGGAACAATCTCTTTTTAAACCCGGAGTCCTTAAAAATAATGGCGGCTAGGACTCTGGGACTCCGGGCTTAAAAACAATATGTTTCAAGTCATTAAACTTCATGAGTTTTTTTTATTTAGCAGATCAAAAATCAACCAACATGTTCAGAGCTTTTGGACACCAGAGATTATTAAAAAATATAAAACCGGAGTTTTTTTGGGACTACGTATCCCTAATTATACTAATATTTGTGGATGTCAAGATAATAAAATGTCGATGTCAAGAAGCAACTAAAAAGCTTCATCATGACATCGAAAAAATTACAAGAGACTTGCGAGCTGCAGATTGTTCCCCTTCTCTCAACGTTTAAACAATGTTTTGTGTGACAATGTTTTTACATGAATCTTTTTTGAATGCACAGCAGACTAAAACAACAATAACTTTGAAAAAATAATAGTGTTACGAGTAAACATCTTGTGTGTAGTTATTAAGTTCTGTATGTCGGGTCTTTTTAAAGCACAAAACGGTTTTTAAAAAGTAGGAATATAAATTATAGGATAGGAATTAAAATACTGAAGATTGAGCGACTATGTAACACAGGACTGCAAACGCTGCCTAATTTTCCTTTTTTTTAAATAGTTAAATTTATAAAAAAAAGTAACATGTTCTAAAAAAAAAAAATGTTGACGTCAACTTTTCTTGACTCCCCCCCCCTCCTTGTCAACAATTGTCAAAAAAATTCAGACCCCACCTCCCCCCTATTTTGTTGACGTAATTAATGAACAGCCCCTTATATAATGTTTTATATGTTTCTTTGCAAACACCAACACACTATATTAAAATTTTTAAGTGCACTGAACCGCAATTACTTTTAATTGTTTTGGTTTTGTGGCTTTTGTTAAAAGCTTGTCAAACTATCTCATTTCAACATATTCGTTGTATCATCCATACTGTAGCCGTTTTTCAAAACGCCTTAAGGTAAAAAATATCAATTTTGACTTTTTTTACCAAATAAGCTAGTTTAGATGTCTACAAACATTATTGAATACATATTTTCAAAGAATTCTGAAAAAATTCATAAAAGTTATTCGTTTCAAAAACATTTTACAGAAAGTTAATTTTTTAATTTTTTAAAATTGCGTTTTTCTCGAAATACGTAATAAGCCTATTAAGGCGTTTTAAAAAACGGCTGCAGCATATATTTATTGTAAAAAAATAAATGTAGCAAAAAAGACTTTGTCAAAAGAAAGCTTTGAATTTTTTTCTAGCTACGAGCTTTTTTTTTGCCTCCAGCACTTTCTAGAGTAGCAGGATTTGTCTTAGAAAGTTTTTTTTTTAAAGTTTCAGACAACTTTTATTTCAGACCATCCGCAGCTTATTAGGACTAATTACCTGAGCTCATTAATAACATCTCAATCATGACACATACGTAACAAACTTTTTTTGATGTTTTGATGTTTTAAGAAATTTTAGCTTTTT